GCGCGGGCCGCGGGGCGCCGCAGCCAACAGGCGGCCGAGGGTGCAGCGGCGGGAGCGCCACCGCGGGCGGGTGGGGGGCAAAGCTATAAAGAAGGCCCCGAGGTAAGAAACTAGAAAAACACAACCACAAGTTATGCCCGTGCTGTGCCTCTCGCAGCAAAGACAAGCGGCCTGGGGTTTTGGATGAATCTACTCTGCTCGCCGGGGGAGAAAGGGTATTTTCCTCTTTAGCATAAACTATTTGCATCGCGTCTTTGACCAGAGTTTAAATTCAGCAGAAAATTGTAGCTGATTTTATTTTTTCTTTTTAATTTCTTTTTTTTTTTTTTTTTTTTTTTTTCTTCATCTTTTGCAAAAAAAGTCTCTGGAATTTTAAAGAGAAAAGGTCATTAACTACCACAGTTCGCGCTGCTAAAATAAATGAGTGTTCAATGCACTGTTCCTAACAAGGATCTAGAAGTTTCCAGCAAGAGTGAAGAGCAGTTGTGTCCGATTTAAAGGGACAATGGTGACTCGTTTGTAAGATGCATTTTGCAAAGAATAGAGCCAGAGTCCTTTGTAAATATATCAAATTGTAAAGAAATGGTTTCTTATTTACATCCTAAATTTTTTGAACTCAACTCCACTCTTAAAATGTGTTAATGTCTTATGAGCTTTATTTACAAAAAAATTATATCTGTTTTGAATGTGAACTTGCAATAACTAATTTCAGCATTTTGTATTTGAAAATGTGTTCATATTTTACAAAGTAAGATCTGTATTCCAAAGCAAAACTGCATTGAAATAAATTGTTTCCTCTGTTGAAAAGATGCTGTATTGTATTATTCATCGGATACCAATCTGATTTAAATATTAAGAAGGAGACTTTGGAAACAATAAGCTATTGTTATTTTTGTCTTAAGATTTTAGAATCCTTTCATGAAAAAGGGGCATCCTTCACAGCTCAAATACTGAAAACCTTATTGGTACCACAGTAACTCGATAGTGACAAATCCTTAAGGTATCAAACATCCAAACTGAATTCAAAACAATATCCAGTTGTTGAATATAATGTTAACTGTGGTCAGGTGAACGAGTTTGTTGAAATTCTTAATTGTGATATAAAAGAATTTTCATTCTTTTGCTTTTCTATGCATACCACTTGTTGTATAGAATGATTCACTAAAATTTGAAGGAGGCTTGGAAGGATCTGGCAGATATTTCGTAGCTAAAGGAACAATAACTGCTTAAGGACATAAACATTTGTAGCTTTCCCTCATAATTTTTAAAACATGCAGTTTTAACTAGAATTAAATCGCTCTCTTCCAAGTGAGACTTTAAAACAAGGCTTAAGTAACAGGTTATTGGCTTTCATTGTAGATCCCTTGGGTTATATATAAAGCCAGTTCTAAAACAAAACATGTAAGCCTGCTTTATGGGTAAAGCCTGCCCTTTCAGAACTAGTCAGGGTAATACAATTTCAATGTATATAAAAAGGCATCCACGATTGAAATTCTATAAATTTAAGTCACATTAAAAATAGTGTTAAACATCTCTTCATACATAATTATTTTCTTTTCCTAAAGACAGCTTTGAAAAATATGCTAGAGAAAAATAAGAAAACAAAGCAACCACTGAAAGCTAAAGTTCATCTAAATATCTCAGCTGCAAGAAATCAGTTTTATACCAGTGGGTAAATATGTATGACTAAAGAGAATATTAAAAAGTTCCTCCGAAGTTCTCATTTAAAAACTTAACAATAATTTTAAAACACACTGAATTTACATCTAAGTTAAAAAAAATGTTAAGTAAAATAAGTACACAACAAGGATGATATTTTACTTGTTTAATGGGAACACAATGAGCGCGTGAAGTCTGCATCCCGCACATGAGTCCATACTTCATTTGATGGCTGTGTTACATCGTTTAAAAATAATATGACAACTGGTAGCACAATATATGCTTTTCAAAATGCTGTGAAAGAGCAGTAGTGTCAATTCAAATGCGTACTGGTGAGAAGCTGGACTGCCCTGGAGCTTCGTGGCATATGTGGTGTGGCAGCAAAGTTCCTAATTGGTTTTTACCCCCCTGCATTAAAACAATGATAAAAGTCTTAGATGATAAAATCATAGAATGTAAAGTATGTTAAACCAACATTCTACAACATTTTAATGAGGTTTTAGATCAGAAAAGGAGAAGTTAAATCATTCTTAATCTAAATTACTTCTGCTGGATCTTAGTTTTCTGTTTTTTTGTTGTTCTTCGAAACAGGCACTTAGAATACTTTCAATACTATCATAATTTTTAAACTCTCAGTTAAAATAAAAAGGTGACTTCTGTAGCAGCCTTTGTTCCCATTTAATAGGTAACATTAAAGCAACAAGTTATCCCAGCTGCTTGAAAATATCTGCCCATTAGATTCATAGAGATACTTTGTACTATTCAATCAGGAGGAAACTTGGAAAAATGCTGCCTCATCTGAAATTTGAAGTTCAAAGTAGTTTATCTAAGGCATTTTATCTCTGGGCCACACGTGCATATACAGACATTTTATTAAAATATCAACCTTCATTGGTGCCAAAAAAGAAAAGCCTTTTTAAAAATGAATGATGCACTCTGAAATTGGCAAGTTGACATCCTTTTCAAAATGATGGGAATGTTTATTCATAAAATTAAATTTAGTAATTTTCGTAAGATCCTCCTTCTGACGTGAGTAGTAAGAAGCCATCACTGATAATGAAAGTTACGTAGTGACTAGAAATTACATTGGTCAGAGAATAAATCATTAACCTGTAATTCTACTGACACGATAATAATAAAACCAAATGATTTGGTTTCAGAAACCATTTCTTTAAGCTGATTTTAGACAATGAAAATGCATTCTTGGTGTACATACTGCAAACATAAGTAAAATGGCTAGCACTATTTCTGTTTTCATTAAGATGTAAGCATTATCTTAATACATCTTTATTCATAAGATACATTTTCCATCACAGGGTAAAACACAATACTTGAAAGATTAATTACTCTTAAATATTTCAGTGTTTTGCCAGTGCAGAGAAGGTATCTACAGAATACCTGCCCCATGTCCGAGGCAGTCTGGTCCACGCTCTTCTCCTCACAGTGGCCAACATCACACATGCGGCGTTTACAGTAACTGCCCCCTTGATACAGAAGGACTGCTCTAGCTGGATTTTAAATGCTACCTATATACTATCTTTTAGAGCTCAATAAAACCAGCTAGGGATTTTTTTTTACACATATAAAGCATTCACTGGAAGGCAGGATCTTGTTTACCAATAATATTTGGTGATAAAAGAAAGTATGGCATTCACAGGCTTTTAGCTTTATACAGAAGCTTGGGTAAAGTCAGACAGCGTAAAAACATGTACCACTAATAAAAGAAGCCACCGTGTTTAACAATTTAAATACGTAATACTGTGATAGTGAGCTTTAGGTAAGAATATATTATTAGCAGGCTTTCTTCTCTATGTATGACTGGACACCATTTGGTATTCCTAATATAGTAGCATTAGAATTCTTTTTCAAGATTCCTGTGGAGCTGTACTTATTTTATTTCCATGTGAACTGCAGTCATCACTACTGTGTCCGAGCCCAGAGGATGAACTGGAAAAGAAGAGAGGGGGAAAATAATAAAAAGAGGAAATTGGTTTTCACAACACACTCAAAGCCTGAGTAACAGAGGAGAACTTTAATTATCTCCAGTCACAAAGAGAGACAGGAAATTTGGACTTTTAATTAGCCATTTGGAGTGCAGTTGGATATTTTTTTAGCTAGATAATTTAAACGCGAATAATTCAAGTCTGACTAAATGAAAGTCACATAATCAGAATGCAGATAATTGAATTTCTACTGCATTCATTAATTCAGCGTGGAGGTGTGTGTGAAGACTGCTATGATGAGCTGTCACAGCTCAATAAAATCTCAGTCAATTAATTTTTTCATTATCTTAGTATTACATCAACAAAAAGCAAAGTACGGGCATATTTCTGTACACATGCATATGGGCATGATGTGTTATATAAATACATACACATTACATCAAAATGCAAGGAAATACCTTTCTGAATCATAATCTACATCGTTTTCTTTCTTTCCTCCTTCGTCTTCTTCAGGGAAGCGTCTGTTCATTAAGGCAAACTTGTGAATGGCTTCTTCCACTGAGTATTTGGTCTGCCCAGAAACACAGGCCTCGATGTCCTCAGAGTTCAGGTGGCTCTGCAGGAAGAGGTGAAGGCTGCTGTCGGAAAGCAAGAGCGCATTCTGGAGGACTCTAGTGTGAGAAAGACGGGAAGAAGAATCAGTGAGCAGGACGGTCCGATAACCAGGAGACCTCAGAAATGTGCCGCAGAAGTCATTTTTCTACTAGGCTAAACTTTGCGTCAATTATGGGCTCTGCCCATTAAAGGGATGAAGCATATGTTAACTTTTACTCAATTATTTAGAAATTTAGGTGAGTAAAAACGTGGAGCTAATAGTTAAGAACATCTGTTAAAAGAATAACTTGAAGGACATTTCTTCCATTTAACCATCTGTTATGACCATGTGGATTAATTATGGGAATATTTTGCTTATACAGTCATAGAAATTTATTCTACTTTTAAAAATTTACTGCCAACAGCTTGTCAATTCAGTGATCTTTATTGGGCAGGCTGTCATGAAACATCAAAACTTTTAACTACTATTAAAAAGTATATCAAGACATGGTCAACATTTTTCAACATGTTTTACCTTTACAAATATTACAAGTATGCTTATGTATAGAAGTATTGTTTACTGGGAGCTCAGTTGAGAGGTGACTTTTTTATGTAAGGTTACTAGAAATTTCTCCAGAGTCTTCAGCAGTATGGCATCTCTGTTTTCAAATTGAGCAACCAAATAAAAATCACCACAGCAAATTTTGCCCTATGTCACTAAAATATAATAATTGGGTGACATACATTGGTCATCCCACATAAAAAGATTAAAGTTTGTGAAAGATTAAAGAATGGTATAAATTTTAACTTTATGCACCAGACCTAGATGGAGGATTAAAAAAAAATACCCTGTAGCAAAAACCTGCATATGCTTAAACTCAAATAACCAGTGAATGTGTTTTTTCTAAAATCCATGTCGTAGAGTAGAAAATCAAGTCAAAGTTATCCTTACATTTAAATAAAACTGGTTTTATCTTTTTAGCAAAATTTTTGATATGTAATCATTTATCCCATTAACTGGTCTGTAATGATATAACAGAAAACACTAAAACCAGATGTAGAAGATGAAACTAGAACAACTGAAGCCCATGTGTGATTTTGCCTCACATGGGATTTTTTGTATAGACATCTATGAAAAATAGATAACATTTCAAAGCAAATTAATTTTACCTTATATTTTGCATCTTTCAACAAGTAATTCAAAAGTAAGTCATTTCTGACTATTTATAAATTTAGTAAACCTCCAGAGTCATTAGGATACCTAGTCTTTCTCTTCAAAATAATTATTTTCTCAGGAAGACAAATGACTGTGATTGCACATCTCGAAACTAAACTCTTTCCGGCTCCTTTGTTTTGATAGGCTTATAATAGTTTGAGAAAATATTCTTTACTGGTCTGCTAAAAGGAAAAGGGAAACCTTTGTGCTTTGTAAAAGAGAAAAGTCTCAAGCAAAGCAACTAAATATTTGCTCTCTGCCCTGAGTTCTTCTGGCAGATGACCGTGTCACGTGATAAGATTAACTTACCCAGTGCAAGTCCCCAAGTAGTAAATCCATTTTACTACTCTTCAAGATTTATTTTCTGCACTTACAAATGTTTACCTTTCTTGTTTTAAATACTTCAAATTAAAGAAAGAGTTAGATAGCAAAGAGGGCAGCCACCTCCTAACATGAACCTGGAGGGCCAGCCAAGGAGTTGGAGCGGAGCATTTCCTGTGGCCTCCTGCCGGTAGTTTTATGCCAGCCCCGGGACAAGTGACTGCTCGTAGGATTATACTCACTGCTTTGTTTCTGTTGGAAATGTGTTTTATTTCCTTTATGAAATAATGGGTAATCTTTAAAATTGATTTTAGATGGTTTGAGGCATTACACCACAAAAATAATGAGCACTAATGCCAATGATATTGGACACAAATTCATTTTAGCTTTATTTCACGTCTAAAGCAATTCTACGAAGCCTTGAACTGCTCACGTGCTGTTATTAACCTGCTAGTAACCTAACACATGGGTACAGAAAACAAAAGTGATCGGTGCCCAGGTTGATCGGGACCTCAAGGCTACTGTCCTTTTTCTTGAGCTATAATTCAATTTCCAATTTTACTGTACATTAGACTCATTATTTCCCTGTTTTCTGTTTAATACTGCCACCTGGAGGACACACAAATAAAAAGAGAGGGAGACGGCCCACCCCATTCCCAGTGGTGAAGAGGAAAAAGGAGTAGGCTGGGAAGGGAATGTCCCCGTAGAACACGCACACAGGTCCAGAGGTCGGAAACACTGCGTCTGCCGGGCACGGCTTGGGGTTTTAGAATTTTTTTCTGTTTTACTGGCTGCACTATGCCACAAGCTTCATGGGTATGGGTTTTAAATTAAGAATTTCAAATGTATTTTAAAAAAACAACAGACATTTCATAGTGAAATTTAAAATGGAAAATTTGGAATATTTTCCAGCCTGGTTGTAATGCCATTTGACTCAAATCTGGTTTCCCATCTATCCGGGGGCTTGCCTGCTACCATCATCCCCAATCTTATTTTTCCTTGAGTCAGATTTGTGCTACCTTTTCCACAAACAAATCTAATAGCAGAAAATCAACTTCAAACTTAATATAAAGAGCACTTTGTAAAACGGTCAATAAAATGTCATTGTTAGAGGCCTCCATAAAAATAAATGTATATGATTTTCAAGCCTTATATAAAAGGAAACAAAAAACAGTCATTAGAAGTGTAAAGGAATTTCTGAAAAGATATTTATGACATGAGACAAGTTACTTCTTCACAATAACTTTAAACAAAGCAAAATCAACATTTTTCATGAATTGGTCCCAGCTGAAAATCTGGGTTTTTTTCAACGTGATATGAGTAAGCGAACTATACGGCGGCTCACATGTGGCTACACAAGATCATTTCCTCTTAACTAAGGATGTCCTAGGTCTACTGAACCCTACAGACAGTAACTAAATGCAGCCACCTAGTGTGGAAGGCTAGCAGCTTGCTTGACGTAAGGAAAAAAAAAAAAAAAACAGCCCTTTTACCTCTTACAATGAGAAAAAAACTATAACGTAAAAATGGACAAATCTTCATTGAAGATATTCATGGTCTGTGCTGTGGTGCCCTCTACTGAACACAGACACTTATTTTTTTAAAATGTGTGTGTGTGTGTGTGTGTGTGTGTGTGTCTGTGTGTGTGTCTGTGTGTGTCTGTGTGTCTGTGTAAAACTAGCTATAGTGCTTCCATGGTAGTCTTTTATGAAAAAAAAAAAATTTAAAGCCTACAAATATAAGAAATACAAAAACACAATGTGGAAGTCTAAATTGTAGTATGAACATAGTTACTTTTACAGGACGCATGCAGTGAAGAAACCAAGCCAGATATCAATTCAATCTAAAACATCAGTAGGAAGTACATTATCCATAGTTGAAAATTTACTTAGCAGGTAAATTCTTAGTCTGCAACTCTGTTGTTCTATAACTATTACAAGTGACTTTCAAGTTATAGTTAGAGAAAGGAATACAAAAGGAAGATTGTAGTCCAGATGGAAAAAATATGAACGTATTTGAAAAATCTGATTATCATATTAAATTTTACTTTAAGTAAAGAATTCTTCTAGTTATAAACTTGTCAGTTCAAGGAATTAATACAGTACCTCCTACTTTCCTATAATTTCCTTTTATATAAAACTAAGATAATACCTAACTCCTAAGGCTATTAAATACTAGGATATAATATGTGAAATAGCAAACATGTAGCAAGTGCTGAATAAATGGTATATTCACTTGGCCAAATAAACAATTTTTTTAACTTCTCAAAGATCATCCTAAATACGTACTTTGCTATTAATATGTATTAGTTTTTAATGACCTGAAAATGAAAAATATATATTTCACATTATATATAAATATGCAAAGACATTTTGATTTCATGGAGTCTGAACATATACATAGGGCTTCAGGTTCAAAAATTCAAAGCTTACATAAAAACTAGATTTCTAAAATACATGCTTGGGCCGACCAAATAACTCAGCGAATTAAAGCACCTGCAAGCAGGTCCAGGGACTGGGGGTTCGATCCCCAGGCCTGCTGTGCTGGCCCCGCCCCTCGGGGACACTGATGGCAATTGAGATTGGGCATGGTGGTGCGTGCCTGTAATCCCAGCTCTTGGGAGGCTGTAAACAGGAGAATCACTATGAATGTGATCTAGTAGTGAGACCCTGAACACCCTGTAGACTCTTCCATGAAATACAGAAAATAAAGTAAAATAAAATAAACTACATGCCCAAAGTCTGTAACACAAGTCTATCTCACATTCCAATGCTGTGATTCCTAAAGGTCCTCTATAAACAAGATACAAGCTATTGATGACCAATAGCACCAATGGCCCCTCAGAGAGCATCCAGTTGTGGTCAGGTACAGTGCTGAAGTGTACATCATGCCTGGCTTTCCTAAGTCAGCTCAGGAGCGGAAGAGGAATGGGGCCCCAGGGGCAAAGACACGAAAGGCTCCCACTATGTGTACGGAAACTGGACAAAGAACAGGAGAGCTGTGCGTTGGAATCTGAGGCACACAGAAAGGACAGGCCTCGGAGGTGAGGCCAGGTCTGAAGCCAACTGGGCAGTATTAGACTCCTACATCCTTTAGGTTCAAATCATGGAGAAGCACCAGCTTTCATTTTTAACATGAAACTAATTCATAGGCTGATGTTCTCATACTACTGAGGAGTAACACCCTAAGTTAGCTTCACCTCTGCTCCTTGATTTGATTTCTAGGTCATAGGGGCTGGGGCAATAGCTCAGTAGTTTAAGCACTTGCTCTGGTACTGAAAAAAAAAAAAAAAAAAAAAAAAAAAATTCCAGGTCATAATCCAGATCCAACTTCAATAAATCTAGCCATAGCCCTGATGTGTATGTAATGGTTCCCCATTAGAACAGAGGCTTTGAGGGGAGAAGGATTGGGCCCATTCTTGGTGGTCCTATGCCCTGATACACAGCCTGGCCTCGATTATCACTTGGCAAGTCTCCGTTGAATGCAGGACCACCACAGGATTTTCAGAGTGTGTAGCAGTCATCTGAACAACCACATCGGCAAGCCCAGCACTGTGTTATCCCACTCTACAGAAATACAGAGCAATTAAGGGATTCAAAAGAATTAAGTGATGTTTCCAAGATTGCATAACCAAAAAAAAAAAAAAAACAAGTAATCCAGAGCCAAGATTCCTGAGAGCTAGAACCCAGCTCCTCGTGAACTGAACTAGGATCCGTTATGACGTTAGCATCAAGGACAACTGCAAACAGCCAAACAACAAAATGAGCAAAAAACAACCTTCACACACATAATCCCACCATGCCCCAGGGGTCATCAGTTGTGGCAGAGCAACTGTGGATGGAAAGATTGTATTCCAAGCAATGAAGAGATTCCTAGTTAAAAACACATTCCCCGTTCTTAACTAGCGCTATAAATGCATTCTCATGCTGTCTTTTAACCTCAAACAAGGAAGACTCTTTATGAAGATGTACAGCTCCCCAGTGCTGGCTGGGACCAGGGGGCTTGCCACGCCTGCCCAGGCCTCTCTGGAAGTGGCCAGACCTAAGCTTCCCAGGGGCAGCATCTGGAGCGAGCACTGCTCTACAAACTTGGGCTGCAGGGCCACCTCCTAAGGGAGACGCCAGCCACCACCTGGGCCCCATAGAGACAGCAATTAAGACCGGAGCCGTCTCCACAGGGGAAGAGCAGAGAAAACTTGACTAGCTCTTTGTTCTGTGATGCTTACAACATCCAAAAGAAGCCCGCTGTAGTATTTTTGGAAGACCTAACTACTAATCAGTTTTTCAGGTCTCTTCTCGTATTTATTCCCCTGGCTTCTCTTCCTTTCCCTCTCCTCCCTCAATTTATATGCCTGGCTTTCTGTACGCCTCCATGACCCATTCAAAGGAAAGGCAGTATGTCAGTGTAATGGAAGTAAATATTAATATTCATAGGCATACTTAATATCCAGACCCTTTATGAGTGAGCCATATGGGGAGAGGGCAGTATATTATTTCAGGCTTGCTCTAGGGTCCTATTTAGTGAACTTGAAAGGAGATGATTTTAGATCTTGAAGCCACTAGAAAAAGAACAAATACTTAGAGGAGTCCAGGTCCTGCTACTAAGCAGCAGTCACATGGCTCAGCCTATTTCCTTATCTATAAAAATAAGAAGTTAGAAAAATAAACTCAAAGCTATTTCATGTCTGCATGTGTTCAGATAATGTTGGTGTAGGGCTAGGGGCATAGCTCTGTGGTGCTTGCCTAGCATGTATGAGGCCGTGGGTCTGATCCCCAGCACTCCAAAACGTAAGTAACAGCCAACATTTAGACACTCTGGGGCTGGGGAGATAGCTCAGTAGAATAAGCGCTTACCTGGCAAGCACAAGGCCCTGAGTTCAATGACCAGTAACCGCAAAAAAAATGCAAATAAATAAATAAATAGACACTCTGTGCCAGCCACACTGTATTCCTGTGGGTGCCTCATACTCATTGGCCCATTTAATCCTCTCTCCACCTTAGGAGGCAGGTCCTACTATGACCTCATGTTACAAATGAGAAAGCACAGCACAGAAGAGGTAAAAGATTTGCCCGAGGCCTCGGCCAACAGGGGCACAGCCAGGATCTGAACCCAGTGAGCCAAGCCTCAGAGTCACCGTGCAAGCAGTGTGACCAGCCTCCTGTGCGACAGGCCTTCTGGCTTGCAGAGAGTGAGACAAAGGGATATCCTCCGAGCGTGTATTCAAGCAGCTCTAATGGAAGTACCCTCCTTCCCTGAGTATTCTGGAATTAAAAACTGAGACTGTTCAAAAGCCACCAAAACTCCTTTACACACATTCTCTGAGAAGGGAAGAATTAAGCCCTTCGCGTGGAGGAGCTCTGAAGGGTATTATAAGCAGCCTGTTGTGAAGACCATTTCGGTCTGTCAAATCCTAAATGCTGTGACTGAAGATAGTTTTTAAGAAAAGCCTTTGTCTAAGAAGGCCCATTTGTTTCCTGGTAAATTTTACTTTTGTCAGCTGAACTCCCAAAGAATCTGCATCTTCTTTTATATCTTGAGAGACCATATATCTTCCCCATTGACTTAATTTTTCATTGTTTTCTAGAAAAATCAGTCCCAAATATGTACCACACGATCTGGGCCACAAGATGGCACTCTAATGCAGGAAATGAATTTCCAGGCGATGCTAACAGTCAGGAGTCCTGAGGCAGGAGAGTCCCCCTGGAGAGACACCACCCCACCCCCACCCCACGCCCACACCCACCCCGGCTCTCACAGAGCTCTACTGTCACACTGCAGTCTGGCCACAGAGGTTCTGTTCACTCACTTTCTGAGGAAATCTTCCAAACCCTGACGACGCTGATCAACGTGCTGGCGATTGTTCATGTTGAAAAACAGGTTTTTAGATGGAAGTTCTGGCAGTTGCCTTATGAGAAAGAAAAACAAGACTTTTTTTTAATTACCAAGAAGTCCCTAAGTGAAAGCAATTTATGCATGATAATAATTACTCCACTGCTATTGTAGAACTACTATATAAGGCATGTTGAAATCAATTACAGTCTCTTAAAGAAAAGCCCGTGTTTAAATTTCTAAGGCCTTTCACAGTCACTGTCCCTAAAAGTTGGTAAAATTCAGGTGATAAATTTTAGAATCAGAGGCAGTAGCCACAAAACTAACTAAAACAATACCTTGCAGTCAAGAAGTCAATCTAGGGCTGGTGAGATGGTTCAGTGGTCTAAAGCACCTACTTGGAACAAGCTTAGCAAAGCACAGGGACTGCGGTTTGATCCCCCAGCACCACATGCCAGCCAGCCCCGCCCCCTGGTGGGCTGAGCTGGCCACACACACACACACACAAATAAATAAAATAAAATAAAATAAATATATATATATATATATATATATATATATATATGAACACAATCTACAAAATCTCATATTATATTTATGATTTTGGGGTTTTTTTTCTTTTTTTAATGCATTTGGTACAGGGTCTCACTACACAGCTCGGACTCGTAGTGACCTTCCTGTTTCAGCCTCCCCAGTGCTGGGATTACAGGCGTGCGCCACCACACCTGGTCTGGGGGCAGGCTCAGCGCGCCCAGGGGCGGGATCAGCAGGGCAAGTGATGCTAGGGATTGAATTTACTTATAATGTATATCAATGTTTAACTATCGATGGTCGTGATAACGTCTCCTGAGTACAGTCTGAGGAGCGTCACTTACACGAGCAGGGCGTTACTCTGCAGTCGCTGTCTCAGCCACACGAACTCCCTGTATCTTCTCCGTACACAGGACGTCTTCATTGTAAAGCACATGCTGTTAGTCTGTACACAAAAAAGAACAAACAAGCCTCATCTGGGGGGACAGGCTTTCCTTCCATCAGCAGCACATAACAGGATTCCAATATTCGCTCTAAATAAAATGGAAAGCACCAAAAGTACATTTACACGTACACTAGCATTCTGAAACCCTGCACAGAACTCCCCAACATCTCAGCCCTGAAGACAGCTGGAATGGCAGGAACAAACGGCGGCACAGCCCTGCCACACCCTGGGTCCTGAGGAGCTATTCCTCATCTAACTATGAATATCACTTTCAAGGATGAATCGTGAAAAATAAATCTGAAACTTCGAAGACAGAACTCAAGGTTATTCACTGCATTTTTTGTGTGTGGGTACCGGGAATCAAACTTAAGAACCTGCACTTGTCAGGCAGGCATCGGGCCACTGAGCTACATCCCCAGTCCCATCCACTGCACTTTATGGTAGTCTTTTTTTTTTTTTTTTTTTTTTTTTTTTAATTTGGTACAGGGTCTCACTATGCAGTTCAGAGTTGTAGTAATCCTCCTGTTTCAGCCTCCCTAGCGCTGGGATTACAGGTGTGCACCACCACACCCGGTTTCCATGGCCAGCACAGCATTCAGTACCAGGGATCAAACCCAGGTCCTTGTGCTTGCTTAGACTGCTGAGCTACCTCCTTAGCCCATCCACTGCATTTTTTTAATTAATTAATTTATTTATTTGTGTGTGTGTGTATCTGTGTGTGGCCAGCTCAGCCCACCAGAAGGCAGGGCTGGCTGGCATGTGGTGCTGGGGGATGGAACCGAGGTCCCTCTGCTTTGTTAAGCTTGTTCTAGGTAGGTGCTTTAGACCACTGAGCCATCTCACCAGCCCTCATCCACTGCATTTTAACACCATCTATACTGATGGAAGAGTCTCTAGGACAGACAGCTGCCCATGGCTCTTTGCTACCCCTCAGAAGTCTTCTCCTCAACATGACTGTCCCTACTACAGATCATGGCAGTCACAAGGAGTCCTGAAGTCACTGCTCACCTGAAGAACAGCATTTCTCTCCTCTCTCAGCTGGGACACGACGGTAGAACAGGGGTGAATTGTGGATATGAAAGCCAGAAGGTTGCAAGAGCAACAGCAAGCACTTGGTAAACAGTATTCATTAATATTATTAGTTATGACTGTTGGATTCCCTGTAGCTACTCTGTGACAGAGTTGGAAAAATGCACTTCTAAGACATAATGCTTCTCCTTTGGTCAAACATAAGATGTGTAAATACTCTTCGAGTAAAATCAGAGACTGGCAAATATTTATGTCTTCCGGTCTAAAAATATAAGACGATCTCTACTATTTTTATGAAATTCTGTTGTGTAATCTTTATATTTGCCAAGTGAGAAACAAAATTTTTGCCACTAAGATTTGTATTATTTCAAAAATTATTCTTCCAATTAGTAAATTCAGTCATTTTTTTTGGGAAATCCAGTGAATGCGTGCATTAGTTCTTCAACTGTTCCCATGAAATGTGTGACACAGTTCCTGGTATTTCTGAAGTTCAAAAATCTTCAGGATGCAGAGAGGTTAAAAACCTCCCCTCCAGAGCAGCCAGTGCACTAAATCTATCCTTAATGATGTGGTAGCTAAACATGCTGCTAGGAGTCGCAGGCACAATAACCTTCTGGGGATTTCAGGCCTCATGTGCTCCAGGGGGATAACCCAGCAGGCTAAGTTACACCAGAATTAGTGCCCTAACGAGGCCGAGCAGGTGTCCTTAGTGTTTTCTCCCCAGAGTGCACTAGGCCACTGTAGGCCCTCCTGACCCCACCCACATGAGCTCAGTGAGGTTCAACCTCTTCAGTTGCTCTACTTGCTCTAAGCACTATGGATGTCCGTAGCAAATCAGCCACTTGACATCACCGGGTTAAGGTCTAGGTCTGAGCTCTTCTTTCACCAGACAGGCTCAAGACAACACAGATGGTAATCTACATAGCTCCCAGCTCTACTAGTCTAAAATTCCAAGTTAATATCAAGAATTCTAGGACCGGCCAGATCAGCGGATTAAGCACCTGCTTAGGCAGAGTGCAGTGGCCGGGGTTTGATCACTGGGCCTGCCATGCCAGCCCTGCCTGGGGGCCTGCTGCTACGGCAATTGAGACTGGGTGTGGTGGCACATGCCTATAATTCCAGCTCTTAGGAGCCTGAACACAAGAGGATCACTACAAGCCCAGTCTACATAGTGAGACACTGTAGGCCCTGTCCTAAAGACACACACAAAAACAAAAAGTCTAGAAAACAAAAAGAATTTTAAGATGGGTGCTACTCTTTTCTGTGAGGTTACTTTAAATGAGTTAAGCACCAGCTTCTCTGCCTGCAAACCCACTAAGCACAGCTTCCAACAGAGGCCATCTAGACCCCTCTAGCCCCACCGTCTGCTTCTAACTTCACAACAGGTGGACGCCTCTTCAGGATCGGACTGTGCTGAGACACTCACAGATGAAGTTCCTCTAAGGCTGTTTGTTTCTGCTAACCAAGCCCAGATTCACTGGCAACTTAGCATTGCGGATTCACTGGCAACTTAGCATTGCGGAGAGATGGCAGAATACCACCAAGTAATATCTGCACAGCTCTATTGTCTCCAGCTCTAGATAGAGATTTCTGGATTCATTTCATGTTATTTATTAGCAAAGAAGACTCTCATTATTTCTCTTTTTTTTTTTTTTTTTTTTTTGTTCCGAATGCCTTCAGGGAAGGTTTGGCTGGCTTGAGTTGTAGGGATTGAACCACAGCAACCTGAGGCTGACTGCTTTGTTGAAGCAGCCACTTAAAGAGCTGAGCTAAGGGGCAGGCCCCCCACATTATCTTTAAGAAAATTACATTTCAAGCCTCCTGTATAGTGAGTGCTACAGGTTCATAATTTCTGAGAGTAGCTAAAAGACAAGTACAGAGCTTCGTTTTATTTCACATGCTTATTCTTAAGTGCTTATAATACTCTACACAGAACACAGCTTTCATATAAGCTTATGAGTAAGACCAAAACAAAATAAAAACACAAAGCATATCCCAGGAATGGCCTATAATGTAATCATCATCATCATAAAAAAAATTCTGAGTTTTTACTTGGTTTATTTTCTAAACTTAAGGAATTTTTTTTTTTTTTTTTTTTTTTTTTTTCCGGAACTGGGGATTGAACTCAGGCCCTTGCGCTTGCCAGGCAAGCAATTATTCTACTGAGCCATCTACCCAGCCCCTAAACTAAGGAATCTTAAAAGAAAAAAAAGATCTTCCGACTATGCCTGGTTGACCGGTATACCAATGCAGGGATTTACAGCAGGAAATTAGCTACATTTTGCTTCAGATGTGTTACATCATCTCAGATAAATTCAGAGCCAGTTTCTGGCTCCCAAGAGAAGTCTAGATTAAATAAGATGGGAAAAGTGACTACCTTTAAGATCAAGGACCAATGAAGTATAGCTCACAGGCCTGTGCCAGCCTGCCGCCTGTTTTTGCAAATAGTTTTAGGAGGCTGGATCCTGCTCATTCTTTCATGTATTGTCTGGGGCTGCTCTTGGCTTCTGACAGAACTCAGTGCTACGACAGAGACATGTGGGCTCCAACACTGAACATTTTTCTTGCTTGGCCGGGTACAGAAAAAGCTTGCTGACCCTTGTTCAAGATGATTAGAGAGGGCCACACAGCACAAAAAATTATCCATGAGATTATGGTAGTATTTCAAACTAAGGTGTATCATTTCCAGCTGCCTCCTCCTTGTGCCATTACTCAAAATCTAGACTAAAGCAAATTAATTGCACATATTATTTCCTACTTTCTGATTCTACGTATAAAATGCCATATATCCTTTCACTTAGAACTCTACCTTCTGTCAAACTTTAGATTTATCAGACACTATAAAATCCAAGAATATGTTATAACATTATAAAAGTACCATTAGCAAGTTATAAATATTCTTTAAGCATAGATGTTAAATGTATTCACATCTTCACACATGAAGATAATAAACATTAAGACATTAATTTTAAAAAAGTATAAAGGTTTAAAATAAGTAGTTTTTTTTAAAAAAAAAAGAAATAAGTAGCTTTTCAATCCTAGGAACCATCTTACTGCTTCATTGAAGAAATAACCATTAGTACTATAATCATTCAAATTAAATTCTTTGAATTAGTTAAAACTTTTCAATTCTAAGTATATCATAGCATCCAATAACACATCTGCGACTGAAATGCCCTATCACCTCTACTGCATACTTACATGAATACATATCTCATAGTCGATGTAAGAATGCCAAAAGTCCTCCTTCTGGATCCTGGGATCTCGGACCCAGACACTCACAAATTCCTGCAAAGGCATCACAGACAAAGAGAACTTTCAGAATTGCAAGTCAGGCTGCAAGGGCAGGGGAAATGACGGGCCTAGAAAGAGCTGCGATGTGCTGCAGCTACTGTGGTCGCAATCCTTTCAAAAACAAGAAGTTCATGAATCAGGCACCATGGGCAAGTCCAGAAGACACTTTTGGCCACAAACGGAATTTTAAAATAACGAAAAACAGAGCTGGACATGCTAATTGGCTGTCAAATTGATGACTAATTTTGAATCATGAAAAATAAGTCCACAACATTTTCGCAAATTTTAAATGCAGTCATTTCTCACCTTCATTATCTCTAAAATGAAAACAGCAGTCCCTGCCTGGCAAACTGCCTTCTAGAAGACAAGGAAGGGGGACAAAGGCCATGTAGACAGGAAGCCACGAGAGGTGAAACTGGCTGTGTGTACAGAGCCCAGCCTTGTGACAACATGCAGCGGGAACTTCGCAACAGAAAGATACATGGGCCCCTTCTTTCAAGCCATAATTTTCTATTTTAAAAATATTTCTCAAATATTACATCATTTGATCTTCATATCTTCATGTTTCAGTTAATGTTAGAGATGTTTTAAAAAACATACATAGTGGATACTTTCTGTTCTTTTTTAAAGAAAGTAAGATTAGGGGAAAAGAGGTAACATTGAACACCTATGCATATGCCTAATAAGTTGTTCTTTTCTCAGTTGTGCTCCAAACTTTCTGATCAAGAAGATTCTGGAGCCACAGAGAAATGTGTTCGAGGATCTAAAGTGAGCCTGG